ATGTTATAAATTAATTTAGAATCTTGTAAATTGATTCGTAAACATGTTAATAAATTGCAACGATAATTTATGTTTCTATAAATAAATTGTTACTTTTGTAAAATAATTTAAAACTTGGTAAATTGATTTGGGATTCTAGGTTTAAATTCTTTAGAAATTGAAGGTAATGGCTTGCCATACGCACCGGCATAGGTTTCGTGAAAAACGAGGGACGTTTAGGACAGCGTTAGGCTCTCGTACAAGAATTCTAAGGATATCCTTAAGATGGTGTTTTCACGATAGCTTCGTGAAACGGGCCCCTGATATATATCATCATCATAGATATGTGTTGTGCATATCTATGATATAATCTCTGTTTCAGTGACTCATGCTATTTTGCACTCCTCACACTCACACATCACAAGACTAAATTAAAGATGACAATAAAAACACATCTGTTTATAATAACATGAGGTAACTTATAATCTATTTATAATACTTTCTTGTCACATTCTTTGGGTAACTCGACAGATGACGATAACAATGTGTGCGATAACAATGTGTGCGTAGGTAGTTTCTTAATGCTTCTTATGGCTATTTGCCATCTACTCGCCTTTAACCCAAGTATTGCAAGAACTACCTCCTTATAAATCAGTCATTATTATTCCTTAAACAGATTTCTTTTCAAATAGTAATTAAAAGTTTTAAAATGACCACACTATTACCTAGTGCGAGCACTCCACAGTCGAAGTCAATGTTTACTCGGTTAGCTGATAGAAAGTCGGCTCCGATTATGAACTGCTGCCTTAAATCCTGAACCACGTAGCAGGTATGGAGGGTGGTTAATCGTCCCAGTAAAATGCGCAAAGTGGCGGTGCCTACAAGGTGTAGCTTATCGCCTGTGACAGAAAGAAGCATGGCGTCTGATGCGCAGACGGCGTTGAAACTAGCAGCCGCCCGTATGTGCTGGGGTAAGTGGAGCCATGCAGCAAAATTGATAAGCGTACAATCGCTACCAGTATCAATGAGGGCCGTAAGTGAAAGTGAGCCGACTTTAACACTGTACTTCGGCGCAGAAGATGTAGTGATAGACGGTGATCCGCGCGCAGCAGATGCGTGCGAGCTTAGAAGTTGCGGGGGTACGGCGGTGCAATTGCATTGCGAGGGCGCTGCCGAAAATCCTCTAATCGGTCGCGGAGGGGGCAGTCACGCGCGTAGTGACCTGGTTGGCCGCATGCATAACAACGATTATCGCGTTGAGTGCCGGTAGCCGCAGCGGCTGGAGTTTGGAATGTGTCGCGCTGGCGCGAAACAGCTGGCAAGTAAGTGTTGTTACGAACGGGTGGACGCTGGTCGCGTCCTGTGATGGGGGGTCGCCGGGGGCGTGATCGTGGCGAGCCGTCGTTGAGTTCGAGCACTTGGGAATGTTGTAGGCGTGGGGGTTGTCGTGTTATGGTTTGAGGGGACTGATTCGTCAAAGGGGACGGGGCGCGTGGCATGGCATGCGTAATGAACGTACGCAGGCTGCGCACCTCTCGAATGAGATCGGATAGGGTAGGGCGTTTTATGGTAGTGACGTCCATGGGTTCGCATCTGCCGCGCGCGGATCTCCGACTAACATTACATCTTCCGCGCCGATGTGCAGTGTTAAAGTCGGCTCACTTTCACTTACGGCCCTCATTGACGCTGGTAGCTGTCCCTGTAATAATGCTTCAATGTTAAGTCAGAGCCATAAAGAAGAAAAAGCCAGTTGTTACCATGTTTTGATGTTTACTATTGATTTGAGTACGATTACAGCCGTGGTCGCGGTCGTGACTGTGAGTGCCTGGGTGTGAAGCCGAATTCCCCGATTCTTCCCGGCTCTCGTCTCATATAGCCAGCCACGACCGCGCCCCGCATGCGTCACGCGTGCGTCATCTATACTACCGCGACATTACATAGACACAAGCCCTCGTTAGGGCCCTATTCAACTACCGTGCGAGAAGCGCGGCCTTCCCAGCTCGACCGATTACATATACACAGGCCCTCGTTAGGGCTCTATTGAAGTACCGAGCGAGAAGCGATTCGCGCGCCTATCGTAAAGGCATTTATTACGCGCACGTGCCACTTTAGTGTTACGCTGCATCGCGACAAATGCTCGGTGCAAGCGTTCAGTAGCGTGAGTGATTGGATCGTCCGCATAGGACAATCGTCTGGGCCGCAGTAGCGTGTCAAGTGGTAGCTCTGCGTCTCTACCATATGTCAAGAAGAAGGGGGTGAATTGTGATGACTCGTTGATGGATGTATGATATGCAAATAAGACTGAGTTGATCCTTGTATCCCAGACTGTATGATCGCGATTAATATAGCACGCGAGCATGTTAGCAAGCGTGCGGTGAAAGCGTTCGCATTGTCCGTTCGACTCAGGGTGGTAGGGAGAGACCTTCATGTGGGTGAATCGGAGCGATGTCGTCAATCGCGCCATGAGCTCGTTAATGAATTCGCCTCCATTATCAGTTAAGATGGATCGAGGGCACGAGTGACGAGGGATAAAGTCGTCTACAATGATGCGTGCTACGCTAGCAGCGCTTTTATCGGGCATGGGGTATGCTTCAGGCCAGGAGGTGTAAAGATCCAGAAACGTAAGCATGTAACGATTTCCTGAGTTTGAGCAGGGGTGCGGTCCCGTAACATCGATGGCGACCACATCTCCTGCGTGTCTGGGTGCCGGAGCATGGTGTAGGGGGGCACGGACTCGCTGTAGTTTTCGGCAGTTACACACGATGCAGGATTTAATGTAGTGGTAAGGGTCGGCGAACATGCGGGGCCAGAACTATCGCTGGGACAGTTTACTATAGACTTTCTTGAAACCCAGATGGACACCATACGCATGATCGTGGAACAAAGGGAGTACAACGGGTACGAGAAAACGGGGAATGACTAATTGGGGCGCAGCATCACCATCCTGCGCGCGAGACGTCACATGAAAGAGCAAGTCGTCGACCAGAAGATAGCTTTGAACGAGTTTAGCTTCGCATATGGAACTTTCATCTGGGTTGGAGAGTGTGTGTATAATCTGAGAAAGAAGGGGGTCGGCCTGCTGCAAGGCAGCGAGTTCAGCGTCAGTAGGGGGGGGATAGAGGGGGTGTCGGGGTAGGAGGTGGTTGTTCGTTAGGGTGGGGAGGGTCGTGATGAAGTGTAATGGGGCCTACTCGGCGTGAGGGTTGTGAGGCCTCAGCGTCGGGCGTAGGCAGTACCACTTGGTGTATGGGTTTTGAGGCCATAATGCCGAGCGGTGATGGGGGTGATTGATGAGTCATGCGGTGACATGGGCGTAGACGACTCGGGAGGCAAACGAGAAAGCGCGTCCGCTTACCCGACGTGTATTCCAGTCGGCATGAGGGAAAACCAGAGACGTAGAGGGCCCACCGCTGGAGTTTAGCGTTGCGCAGGGCCTTAGCTTCTAACAGGTATTTAAGTGGTTTGTGATCGCTAAGGATTACAAAATCGGCCCCGATGAGGTGATGCCGAAACTTGCGTAGCGCGTATACCAGCGCGAAACATTCACGTTCAATTGTAGGCCAGCGTTGTTCTGTCTCAGACAACTGTTTGCTGAGATAATACACTGGGTGCTCCCGCTCGCGCTCATCCATTTGCGTGAGAACTGCTCCGACGGCGTAGCCGGAAGCGTCGCAATAGAGGCGGTACGGGCGACTTCCATCAGGCAATGCCAAGATGGGGGCCTCAGTGAGGCACTTACGAAGAGACTGAAACGCAGTCTGTGCCTCTTGTGACCACACAAA